CTTCCCCACTGCCATTGCCAACCACTCAGGCATCATGATCCTTCACTTAGGCTCTTGTCAATAATATCCTGTTTGGTCTTTAGCCAAGTTTCCTTCACTTTAATCTATCCCAACCACCAATGGGAGATTTATCTAACCAACACAGATCTTATGAGTTCACATGGCAGTGGGTGCTGCTGCAACACGTGTGCATTCTGTGGCTGAGAGCTGCCTCCCATCCTCCCCAGACCTTCCCAGCAGAGAGACAGAGAGAAGGGGACCACAGCCTGATGGTAAAAATGGCCCATTTAATGCAGAGCTGCTAGCATCCTTATAGAACATCCAAAGGGACCAGAGGTGTAGGGCTGCATGTCTGTGTGATTTACAGAGGTAAAACATTCCAGCAGAGGCAATTCTCAAGGGGAGAAACTCAAGGAGACACTCTATCTTCTAGGGATATCTATATTGCTTTTCTCTCTCCTAGTAGTATATATCAAACAATTAAGTCAGTTAATCAAACAATTAATTCTACTTCTTACCAATACTTTCAGTCATTTGGATAAGCACAGTAAGAGCTAAAGATCCCAAAACTTAATTCTCTGGGCCCTGAGAACAAGCGAGGCTTTTACTGTAAATCCCAGACTTAGTTCTCAGGTCAGTTCAACTTGTCCTTCCCCATGGGGTTCCTGTCTCTTAAATCATAACAACTTGCATCAAGATCATGCATTTATGCTTTCTAAAATATCCCATTTCGATGCCGGGGCTGCTTTGCCACTCGCCCCAGGTCCATCCCAGTCCCACGGTGGGACCTCCCTTTTGGGATATTTGGAACTACAGCAACTGAAGCCTGAGTCAAGTCATTATGAACAAGTAATTATGCCCAGTAGTTATATTTCAGAGTCAATCAACTCTCAAATATCAGGAGTATAGTATTAAGGTCTTTCTGTGTTTAATCAAAGAACATTGCTCTATAGTAAAATATGAAAAGGCTATAGGGGAAATAGAAAAGCAAGTAATTCACTACAAATACAAAATCCAGAATTACCAGAAAGTTTTGGCTCATAAGTAACCAAGATTGACTTGGGGAACTGTGACAATGAGGTATAAAACACAAAGGAAATGTTAAAGAGAAACTCAGGGGATTAGGGATGCTCCCTGTGAGCTTCACTGGGAGAAAGATAAGGGGCAACTTCACTGATGAAGCCCAAAACACTTAGGGTTAATGTACAACAGATCTCATGGAAACGTCCTGCAGAAAATGCTTAACCACTCCTCTTGACTAGTAATTTAAGTGCTAAAAAATTCTTAAGCCCAGTGTCCAGAGTCTGTCAATAAGCCAGCATGCTCTGCACTCTAGTCCCAAGCATCATACACTGAGTATTTCTGGCACTCCTGAGATTCATTCTTTGCTTCTGTTCCTTTTCCTGGACAGCCCCGCCCATGCCCTATTTACATGCCCATCTGTTAAGTTTTTTGGTGGATCAATTCAAATGTTATCCCACCCATGGAAGTATCCTATTTGCTCCAACTCTAAAGTTCTATTAGCATTTTACCACATTTTTTGTACTAAATTTCTGTGTGTGTATATATGTATATATGTGTGTGTGTTTATGCACACATATGTATATGTGTATATATATGCACACACATATATATGCATATATATATTGATCTATATGTTGATCTATACTACCAGACTGAGCTCCTGGAGGATAATGACCTTAGTCTTGTTTGTCTTCAAACCTCAGAGTCTAGCACAATGCAAACACTCAATACATGTTTTTGAAAGCAAGAATTTATCAAAAGAATAGACTCTGATACATGTTTATTATTGAATACTTTTGTTTAGATGCATTTTACAGTAGAAATTGTCTTTCCAGGAAAATAACTTGCACATAGTACTCAGATTTCCAAAACCCATGAAATGATAAAAACAGGCAACCAAATCTAGGTGAGCTGAAATAACTAAGTAAAACATGAATTTCCTTCTTTACTGCAATGAATTAAAATTTTCCAAACAATTCCTGAAATGTTATGAATACATATAACAGAAGAAGACACATTATTATTATAGGAACTTGTCACATCCTTAAGAAGTTCTTAGTACTCAAAGCATTAAGGTAAAGGTAAAGGTAAAGGCCCTCCCGTTGATCGTCGATTTGCTCGAGCGGGCCCAGTAACGTCTCCATTGGAGACTTTGTTGTTACTGTGTCTGGCATATCAAATACTCTCGGTAGCTTGCAGGGCTCTCCGAGAGGGGCCGAGGAATCGAACTCGGGTCGGCCATGTTGGCCGCTTGTAAGGCGAACGCCCTACCCGCTGTGCTATCGCTCCAGCCCCAAAGCATTAAGATTATTGGTAATTATACATACATCAGGATTATAGTCACAATATGTGTCTATTGTTTGAGGTTTATAAATCAATAAATAAGTCTACAAATTCATCACATAAGACACTGATTTTTTTTTTATTAGTGAAACACCATGAGGTACAGTTGTAGATTTACAATTTTTTGTGCTTGGGTTTCGATTATACAATGATCAGATACCCATCCCTCCACCAGTGCCCATTTTCTACCACCATGGATAATATCCCCCCACCCCCATCCCCCCATCGCCCCCTGCCTCTGTGGCAGGGCAATCCCCTGTGTTCTCTCTCTCCTTTTGGGTGTTGTAGTCTGCAAAAGAGGCATTGAGTGGCAAACATGTTCAGTCCATAGTCTACTTTCGACATGCATCTCCCCTCCTGGGAGGATCCTCCAAACACCCTTTATTTGGTGCTCCCTTCTCTATCTGAACTGCCCTTTCCTCTAGGATACCCGGCTGGTCTCTAAGTTATGGAGTAATCCTCCTGGTGCTGATCTCAGCTATTCTTGGGTATTAATCTCATATTTTGTTACTTTATATCCCCCAGATGAATGCAATCTTTCTATGTCTATCCCTCTCTTTCTGACTCATTTCGCTTAGCATGATACTTTCACTTGTATGTAAATTTCATGACTTCATCTTTTCTAACAGCTACATAGTACTCCATTGTGTAGATGTACCAAAGTTTCTTTAACCAGTCATCTGTTCTTGGGCATTCAGGTTTCTTCCAGTTTCTGGCTATTGTAAAGAGTGCTGCAATGAACAAACAAGTGCAGATGTCACTTTGACTATACATTTTTGCTTCTCTGGGATATATTCCCAGGAGTGGTATTGCTGGGTCAAATGGGAGCTCAATTTCTAATTTTTTGAGAATCGTCCATACTGTTTTCCAGAAGGGCTGAACCAGTCGACATTCCCACCAACAGTGAAGGAGAAGACACTGATTTTTATATGATTTAAATTATATGTATTTATTTATGTTTGGGGCCACACCCTGAAATGCTCAGGGGCTACTGTAGGCTCTGAGTACTCAGCAGTACTTGAGCACTGTGTGATGTAGGAAATTGAACCTCTCATTCAAAGCAAGCGCTCCAATTCTATGAATGATCTCTCCAAACCCTGGTTTAAATTTTTTAACTAGAATATGTATTGATGAAACACTGGTTTCACAAAATCCTGGCAAATATCAGACCTGCTGCTTATGATTCACAGGCAGACCAAGAATATCAGGATAGAGCATATTTTTTAAAAATTAACTTGGAGATGTCAGAGTGAGTACAGGGGATAAGGCACTTGTCATATGTGTCTGTGCATCATACCATGCCCCATGATCCTGGCACCCCATATTAGTCCCCAAGGTACAGTTAGGAGTCACTCTTGAGCTCAGAGCCTGGAATAGCCCCTGAGCACTAAAGGGCATGGGGTGTGTCCCAAACTTCTTTCACCTCACCCTTGCCTCTCAAAACAAACAAGTAAAAAAACTAGAGAAAGATATAAATGCAAAGGGTTGTAGGTACTGTGTTTTAGAGCCTATGAAACAATGGTTTTAGAAGCAGAACTCCACTTTTGCTTAATAATGGCACTGGATCTGCCACCCACTGCTAGTTACCATGCCATTATTAGTCATTGTTCCAAACTAACTTTTTAAAAAGTTAAAGATTGTCCAATTTTCTTTGTGCTTTGGGTGAATAAGGGTCATGGGGAACACAAAAAAAATTGGGAAAAGAGAGAGTACTATGGAAGAGAAAAGTGCATTTTATAGTCTTTTTAGACAACTTTAAATGCAGTTGTATCATCAGCTGGTTTTTGGAATTGGTGTGTATAGACTTCCAGGCTAAAAGCAAGAAAACAGCTATTTTTGAAAGTTTATGTAATTTAAATAACACATAATTTAAATATGTAAATAATACCGAATTTAAATAATACACAATAATGCTAATGTTTATGTTGACATATAGAATTACTGCACCCACCATTGAAATCAGTTGTCAAAATTTTCTTCAGACCACAACCCTCAAAGAGATCTACTATTTAATAGTAAGCAAGTCTTTCTCTAGAATATTACTCTGTGGAGAAAGGATAATGATTTGCTTTTTCCCCTTCGCTCCAGGGAACCTAGGTCCTCACACATGTGAGGTATGTGCTCTATATGTGCTCTATATGGATGTATGAGCCACATTCCCAAGCAGGACACAGATTTCCCAGATACCTTTGGTTTGTTTTCACCTAAGATGGTACGATCATGCCACTTTTGATGACTCTTTCTCAACTCTCAGGGTGGAAATGGTCCTCATCATACAGTTAGACCCAGGGCTGTATCCTCTCTGGTCATGGAAAAGCCGTCACCACACTCTTATTGAGTACTCACATAGTGGATGGCTCAGTGACTAGGCATGCACACTGGCATTTGCTGTTGACAACTGTCAGCTTTGACCTCCTTCTCCTCACAACCCAGTCTAAAAGAGGCTTGTAATCCTCCTTTCCACCCACTCTCTTTACTCCCCTGGAGAAAGAATGTTGGCGCCTGTTCTCTGTCACCTGTCAAAATCCATCTGCCTGTCACTGGCTTTTATGGACAAGTCAGCCAGCTGTCACGTGACATCCCCCCAACTGCTAAAAACAGCTCCAGCACCTACTCTGAACCGGGACCTGAAACAATGTCTTCCACCGAAGGAAACAGAAAGGACACTTGATCACACAATCCTCGAAATTATTTCCAGGAAACACTTGCAGAAACCCTTTGGGAACCCTTTGCCTGGCAGCACCAACGGGGACGGCCAGGAGATGAGCGCATCTTTGAATTACAAGTCGTTTTCCAAAGAGCAGCAGACTATGGATAACTTGGAGAAGCAACTCATCTGTCCCATCTGCTTGGAGATGTTCACGAAACCTGTGGTTATTCTTCCTTGCCAGCATAATTTGTGTAGGAAATGTGCCAGTGACATTTTCCAGGTAGGTTTGTGTGGGACGTGGAAGGGTGGTGGTAGAAAAGATTCCTTTCCCTCCATATGATTTACTTCATTTTGAGATGAGCTTCTTTATATGACTTTTTAAAGTGCAGTCACATTCAAGAATAACGAAAATTAGAAAGAATTTGCTTTGTGCTTTGCTTCTTAATCCCCAAACCTTGATTGATAACTAAGTACCATTCCCCCCCCCCCAATCATTGAATTCATTCCAAAACTGTAAATGAATTACTGATCAAAATGTTAATGTTATAGTTTCTGATTGGGAGCTTTTGAAAAAGCTCCCAATTGCATGAAAAAGCATATCTTGCTGAGAATGACATACTGCAGTTGACAGTAGACAAGGGCTGGCTCTGTGTTTTGGACCTTTGCTGATAAGGCCCAAAGAATTCTCTACAGCAAACTGAAAGTACAAGCTGGTGTTGATAGAGTCAGATCATAGAGTCAGATCAGAGAAGTCACCTGTGGCATTACTCAATTTCTCTTTTCTTGCTTGGCAAGAACAGGCCTCTAATCCATATTTGCCCACAAGAGGAGGTACAACTGTGGCATCAGGGGGCCGATTCCGCTGCCCATCTTGTAGACACGAAGTGGTTTTGGATCGACATGGGATATATGGACTTCAGAGAAATCTGCTGGTGGAAAATATCATTGACATCTATAAGCAGGAATCTACCAGGTATTGTTTCATCAGTCAAACCCATTTAAAGTTTTTTTTTATTTGTTTGTTTTAGTGGACCACTACAATGATTGCTTATTTACAAATCATGAACCAATAGTTTTATAGGAAAATATTTTTCCAAGTCAGTCCTTCCCAATAGGAGGATTCTCTTGTGAGGAGAGAAAAAAATTGGGGCCTATGATTATTATTTTTCTACATATAAAAGAATGAAGTGATTCATTACCATTAATCCATTCCATATAATGGTGTCGAATTATACATAATGCTGATCTATACTTGTACTTCACCTATTTTAGGGATTTTGTGACTGTTGCAGCATCAAATTATTTAGAGCAGAAAAAAATATAGCAAAAGATGGTGACTATTAACAGAAATGCCATCTTCCAATATAATCCACCTCCTAGTCTAAATGGTCTAACTTTAAAATTATCTAGATGATTATAATAAAAAAATTCCTCTAAGGTAGTTATTCATAGTATTAACTCTGGTGGTGAAGCAAGATATGGTCCCACCCTTTAGCAACTTGAAATTTAGAGACATTTTAGAGGGGAAAAAAAATCATGGAGTTTAGGTTATGTTTCCAGCTGCCTAGGTTGTGTTCGCTGCCTATATTCAGCACTGACCCATTGATTGACATACAGTACATATATCCATTCACTAAAAAGAAAAATACTACTTGCTCATTGAATCACAATGCCTACAATGTTCCTGCCCCAGACACAGTACTGCAGGGGTTCATTCCTAGAAGGCATGGTGTGAAGAACCTTCCAATTGTATACAGGTCAGTCTGGTCCACAAAGCTTGATAGCACTATTGGACTATTCAGAATGACCTCATTGTGATTCTTTTGAGGAGACATGTATTTATGGAACATCTGGAGGACTCTAAGAGCCGTATGCTCTTAGAAGGAAAGCTGTTCTATAAATCCAACATGCAATTATTATCATCATTATGGTTATTAGTTTCTGCTTAAGATTCCAGTCTAAATTAGAGAGTGTCAGGATATAGCTGGAATTGGAGAAGAATAATTACTGATGGCATATTGCAGAAATATGGGAGTTGGCTGTAATCCCTTGCTTCCAAAACATTTTAACAAGAGAGAAAGTACTATTGTTATTGCTATTTCTTCACGAAGCCATTATATTTCACTACTTTAGAATGCAAATATATGCACTGCTTCTTAAAAATTAGCCAATCCATAAATAACTCGCTAATTATATTTTAAATTCTATTTGAAGCATCCTGATTTACGTTAACAATAGTGTTTTATGCATTCAATGTTTAAATACCATACCCTCCATCAGAGTGGCCACTTTTCTTCGCCATTGTCCCAGGGTCTCCTCCCATTCACCCCCCCAACTCCCCTTAACTAGCCAATAATTAGGAAATGTATGTAGTGACTAATTCAGAGCCCAGTACAGTGCCTTGCACAAAACAATTCCTCCCTAAGTCTCTGTCAAATCACCACCATAAATATTAGCAACATTTCTGTTTTATTACTTGCCACAATGGGAGCTTGAAAGATGTGATATAATAACATTATCAGGAAATCCAGAGAAGAGATGATAAAAGTTGTGGCACTAATAAAACTACAAGAAACATGCTGATTTAACAATAAAGTTGTTGTACTTTCATCTACCCCAAACAGTACTCTGGCAAGCAAATTATTTAAAAGCAATAAGCCAAATACCCAATGATGAAGTTCATAGCCAAGTGTTTTTGTGATATCAAGTTATTTTGATGTTTGTATTAAACTTGAGACTGGTCTCTGGGACATTTTACTTATTAGTAGAACCACATGTTGCATAGAGGGCTCGGGCACTTGTTTAAACATATACCTAGTTGTTCCCTTCTGAAGGCTAGCTATCTTACCAACTCGAACTCTGAGTCTTAGAGGATTTAACAAAACCAAAATACTTTGAATACACAGAGTGAGATGAACCCAGGTTGAAGCCACAGTCATTGGGCTGAGAGTAAAGAGAAAGCTGGGGACAATGCCGATCGGAGGGAGTCAATTCTGATCATCCACAAAAAGGCTGGAGATCATAGGTCTCCAAAGAGCCTGATCCTCTAATCTAAAGTTTACATAATGCTGATTGGCCTCAGTTAGTGGAATGACAAGAGAAGAAACAATATATAAAGTATGAGCACCATAATGACAATTACTATTAAATTATCGTAGCCAGGGATGTGACTCAGTGGTAGAGTATATGTGTCATAGGTATGAGGCCCTAGACTTGATCTCCACCTTTGCAAAAAACTAAATGAAATAAAATACATATATTTTCAATTAAAAGATGTAAAATGTAAATAAAACTAGCATTGTTGAGTATGTTGTGAAACATTGTTAAGAATGCTTTACACATGAAGTTTGTTAACTAGAACAATCCAGTGAAACTGTGACTGTTATTGTTCTCATCTTATTAAAGTCTTCATCTAAAAGCTTAATTTCATTAGATATTAAAGTACCATAATCTACAGTTATTTTTAGCTGAGTTTCAGATGTGGAATGTTCCAACACCAATCTCATCGCTGGAGAAGTATCTACTTCTCTCTACATGTCCGTAGATTTCCCTCACAGAACCTTATCTGCCTCTTCAACAGGCACATTTTAAAGTTTGATTATTGTAGTTTGGATTTCATCTTTATAGATTATTGGCTCTGTAGTTTAAATATATACATATATCACATCTTTATAAGACCAATGTTCTCGAGACACTGAACCTTACTCTGTAAACTTCCTCTTTTTATTACCCCATTTGGTTGCTTCTCTTTCCAGTGCTCCTCAATTATATGCTTAAGGGTCAAGGCTACTCTAGGCATCCCCTCTTTGAGACCATGCATTCCCTTTTCTGTTATTCTATATACAGTAGAAAAATGAGATCATCCAGTAGTTGTCATTCTTTTGACTCACTTCACTTAACATTATATTCTCCAATTCCATCCAAATTTCAGCAAAATGCATTATTATATCCTTCCTTACAAATGCATGGTATTCCATTGTATAAATATTCCATTACACACACACACACACACACACACACAGACCATAGTTTCATTATCTATTCTACTGTTGGACACCTAATCATACATATTCTAGATATTGTTTTGAATGCTGAAATGAATAGTGTTGTGCAAATGTCCTTTAGAATGAATATTTTTTCTGTTCTGGGGATAGATACCAAGAAGTGAAACTGCTGGATCATATTATAACTCTATTTTTACTTCTCTGAAAGAGCCCCCATACTATTTTTCTTCGGGGTTGAATGCAACAACATTCCCATCAGCAGTAAACGAGTGTTCCTTTTGTACCACATCCTTGCCAATATAGATTGTTTCCAGTTTTTCTGATGTGTGCTGTTCTTACTGGTGTCAAATGACATCTCATTTTACTCTTGGTTTTCATTTCCCTGATAATAAGTGATGATGAGCACTTTTTCATGTGGTTATTGGCCATCTGTTTGTCTGTCTTCAGGAAAATGTCTGTTCATCTCTTCTCGATTGGGTGGTATGTCTATTTTAAACCTTTGACTTCATTGTAGGTGATGAGGGCTGTGCCCTGACCAGGTTTGCCTTTACTTTTCCCAATGACAAATTCTTTGTGTCCTGGGACCTGTGTTTCCTTTTGGTTGGTTTACTTGACTGCTTTATTTTGTGCAGTAAATTCTCAAGTAACCTCCTGAAATGTAGAAAAAGTCCCCTTTTCAGTGTCTCCCACTGAAAGCAGGAAAAATTTTCTTTTGTGAAATCAGTTTCTAAAATCTTGAAGCTAGCTGTTCACATAATTTCCTCACAAGATTTGAGCCTGCAAATACATGATCTCACCCATTTAAATCGATGGATGGACTGGGAATATGGCGAAGCTCTTGCATTGCTTATGCAAAGTCCTGGGCTTGATCACCAGCACTGCATTATCAGCAGTTTATGAATTTTTTAATCCCCATATCACAATACAATGTATATACTGTGATCCAGTGACATACATTCATTCTTTAGGTGTGTATAATATGTGTATAGATATGCATTTATACATTTATATAGAAATGTCAATATAATAGAGTTCCTCATAACAATAGCTTTTCTTACTATAGATAATTTATAATATTTCCTATTCTATTTGATTTTTGAGTTTTAATAATGATGGCCATGATCTCCCAACTTAATTTCATAGTCCATAGTAATCAATTTGACATTCCATTAAAAATATTTAGTTTAAAATATTTTAAAATTTTTAATTAAAAAATTTCAATTTATCTTTTGGTCTCCCAAGGCAGTGTTCTGGGATGGGAAGCAGGGGTGGTTACTGGTGAGTCTCAGCCAGATATGATATTGTTTGGGAGGTGCCGAGGATCACCAAAGCCACCCCAGTGCTAAGAGCCTCCTTGACCACACTCTCAGTAGTGCTGGTGTTTGTGTGTGTGTGTGTTTGTGTGCATGTGTGTGTGTGTGTGATGAGGGTGGTATAGGAAACTTCTAATGCTGCATCCAGTGATGCTCAGATAACCATGTGGTGCCTGGAATTAAACATAGGATGGGTTTATATTCAGAATGCACCCTAACCACTGTCTTACCTCCAAGTCACCCAAACCTACAGTTTTCAAAAAGAAGATTTTGAAAATAACTTGAAAATATTTCAAATTTCAGTTTCAAATCTGAGATACACTTCTAATAATATGTTTGGGAATATAAGGAAAATTTTGGCTTATATCTTTAAAAAAATCTCTTAATAGCCTCAGTATTTACTTCACGATCACGATCACGATCAGGATCATCCTGTTGTTTGTTGATTGCCTCAAGCAGGCACCAGTAACGTCTCCTTCGTTCTAGCCCTGAGATTTTAAAAGAGCCATATTCAATGCTCTTTCAGGGTTAGGAGAATGAGACCCATCATTGTTACTGGTATTTGGCATATTGAGTACGACACGCTTGGCTCTGTGGCGCAATGGATAGCGCATTGGACTTCTAGACTAGATTGAGGCAGTCTTTACTTAGTATATATCAAATCCCAAGTTTTTGTATTATAGGCTCTGTATCCCACTATGCTCTCCATAAGGAGCATAATGCACCATAATTTGGCATAATTCTGATTACAATGGCAAATCTACATTGGTGATTATAGGAATACACAAACACATGCTGTGAAGTTAGATTGCTCCACAAGATACACAGCCAACTGGTAGCAATAATTTGTCACTGGCTCTCTCATGCTTTTATCTTTTCATTTCACAAACATATGCAAGCCCAATTCCGCAGTATTACCTGCTGTGACTCGTAGAAGTTTGGGTGGGTGTCGACCTGTTGAGAAAATAGAAAGTTGGGAGTTATGTGTGAGATCCACATATTCAAGATTCCACCATGTCCCAGAATAACAATTTTTTTCATTGCCTAAAGTTAGGAGAAATTTATTTATTATTTTTAAATGCAATCACGGTGAGGTACACAGTTACAAAGTTGCTCATGATTGGGTTTCGATCATACAATGTTGCAACACCCATCTCTTCACCAGTGTACATTTCCCATCACCAATATCCGAAGTTTCCTCTCCTACCCTCCCCCTCACCCCCCTTCCCAGCCAGGAGGAAAACTTTCAAATTCATAATTTTTTTCAAATGTTGCAATATTTATTTTTTAAAAAAGCAGCAGTTGAACACTTTTTTTCTTTTTTTCTTTTCTTTTTTAAAATTTTTATTACTAAAACACCGTGAGGTACAGTTGTAGACTTACAAATTTTCGTGCTTGGGTTTCAATTATACAATGATCAAATACCCATCCCTTCACCAATGCCCATTCTTCACCACCACTGATCCCAGTATCCCTCCCACACCCCACCCATCTCCCACCCCAACCTCCCTCTGTGGCAAGGCAGTTTCTTTTGTTCTCTCCTTATGGGTGCTGCCTAAACCTATAATTCTTAAAATCAACATGGGAAAATGATGCACTGTAGCACTGTCCTCCCGTTGTTCATTGATTTGCTCGAGCAGGCACCAGTAATGTCTCACAACAAATTGTGAGACTTGTTGTTACTGTCTTTGGCATATAGAATATGTCACGGGGAGCTTGCCAGACTTTGCCCAGTGGGCGAGTTACTCTCAGTAGCTTGTCTGGCTGTCAGAGAGGGGTAGAGGAATCAAACCCAGGTCGGCCGTGTACAAGACAAATGCCTTACCCGCTGTTCAATAGCTCCATGAAAGTGATGATGTTTAGAAAAATTTTGGTTTGAAGTCACACCTGGTTATGCTCAGGGCTTACTCCTGGCATTTAGAGCTCAGGGATCACTCCTAGTGGGGCTCAGAGTGTTGGGGAGAGAACCCAGGTCCTGGCCTGCAGGCAAACGCCTATCTCACTGTAATATCCCTCTAGCCCTTAGAAAGTGATTCTTGAGAAACCTGGGGGCATGCAAAGACAGTGCTAGAGCACAATCCTAACACCAGAGCTCAGGGTTCAACTTTCAGGAGTTTCACTAGCTGGTTTTCAAACCTTCTGCAACTTGAAATTGGACACTTTGGGACTCCTCACACCACGGCAACTGTTCCTGTGCTACAGTCAGCCTGCTCCTCCACTGCTGAGCTGTAGGGAAACGGAATTTGAGCTCTGAACCATGAGAAGGACTTTGGGAGCCTCCCGGAGCAGAGATGCTTCAGCAGGTTCCAGGCACTACCTGGGGGTTGTGATGTGTCTAAGCCTCTCCTCTGTTCCAATGGGCCAGTTCCATTTATCTCCTTGCCTTCTCCCAGACCAGAAAAGAAATCAGACCAGCCCATGTGCGAGGAGCACGAAGACGAGCGCATTAACATCTACTGTTTGAACTGCGAAGTACCCACCTGCTCTCTGTGCAAGGTCTTTGGGGCACACAAGGATTGCCAGGTGGCGCCCCTCACCCACGTGTTCCAGAGGCAGAAGGTAACAGAGCCCAAAGACCTCTGCTGTGGCCCCTCCCAAGGGCCAGCGGGAACGCAGGCTAGTGTTGCATGGCTGAGGAGGCAGGAGCAGAAAGGGTCTTCCTGGTCCGTGCTTGACCCCAGGCAGTGAAGTGGCGTCACGCGTGGAGGATGGCAGGAAAGGGAAGCTGAGGGCCAGGAAAAAGCACAGAGCAGAAGAGCTGCTGATTTCCTGGGCTTTGGAGGCCGCTAAATGTTACGGACCCAGCAAAGTTAGAGGGCCCAGTCCAAGCTCAGGCTATTCTCACACAACTTGAATTTGGATAATAGATAATAAAAGGATACCTTTTTGCACTAGGCACACAATACTTTACTAAAGAAAGGTACCTGCCACCCCACTCAATGGTCTTTTCTCCCTTACTCCTAGTGGAATAAGTAATAAAGAAAAGTATTTAGATTAATAACAATTTTAAAATATTGCCCTCAGTGAGCTACCAAGGTGAGCATAAACTGGCTTCCTAAACTTTCACCTTGGCTTCTTCTCAAATTGGCTCTTACCTTAGAATCACTGCCACAGTCCCCTAATGCTTATCAAATTCAGCCTGCCCCCCTCCTTATCACTAGCCTACTAACCAGATCTCACCAATGGGCAAGTAGGAACTTAACCATTTAATTAGAGTAAGTAAGGGGTCCAATTGGTTCAATTGGTACAGACATTCCAGACACCTAGAATTTGAGAAGATCTGTATCTCAGCATCTTCCTGCTAGAATGAATCATAGATTCCTCATTTGGTCACGGTTTTGCTCTGAGAATGCAAGTTGAAATAAAATTTGAAGGCCAAAGTTTTGGACAACACCAGTTACAACCAATGAGTATATCCCTGTGGTCTAATATCCCCCATGCGGGGTCGGGGAAATAGCAGAATGAAAATGATGAACATTCTTCCTAGACATTTATTTACAAATGAGACATATTTACATATCCACGCAGAATTTTCTTTACAAGATCAGGATGTTTACAGGCTCCTCCAAGCCTTGCTGTTGCTCTTCAGGGATACCATGGACTCTAGATTAAGCAGCTATGAGGCAATTTTATTACAATCAGTGCTAGTAAGAAGATCTCTAAGACCTCTGGACCCTCTTTTTCTGCATTAGTCTGAGCTCAGCGATGGCATTGCAATCCTTGTGGGGAGTAACGATCGAGTACAGGGAGTGATCAGCCAACTGGAGGACACCTGCAAAACCATTGAGGTAAGTCATGACACTCTAAGGACCTCTGTGGCTGCCTTGGCGCCACCTTGGCTGTCCTCACTTTAATATTTCAGTCTTTCCTCATTGAATGACCTCCTTTCTCACACGTTTCTAAAAATGTTTACTCCCTGACACAGAAAGAATCCATCGATGTGCCAACAAGGCAGATTTCCTCAGAATCTTTCTTGGGTATTAAAAGACTTCTAGTATTGAAAATGAGGACTGTCTACTATGACAGCAAAACTTTCTCTGAGGAAATACAACCTATCTTACAAAGTGCTCAGTACTGCAGGTTAGGGTGTACATCTGCCCTCTAACAGCAAGATGTGCTTCTGGCTTCAGAGAGGTCAATAAAAGGAGAAAGATCTTCGTGTGTGGTTAGCAAGTATTTCAAAAATGAGAACTCACTGAGCCCAGAGTTCTCACTTGCTCATCTCAACCCTGTCACACAGAGAACATGCAGTTAAAACTTGATGAATGAATACATGTGTGATATGTTTCACTGGCTCTTTACCTTAACCAAACTTAGATTTGGCATGTAAGAATGTTATAAATCCACTTCTCAAAAAAATATTAACTGCAATTTCTGAAGGTAAAATATTAAAGTCTCAAGTGATTTAACCACATAGAAGGGAGAAAAATTGGGAGATTCGCAAACCAGTTAAGTCACGGTGCATAGGGACAGGTAAGAGACATCTGGATTTGAGTCTAGATCTTTGGGTCTTTGGCTTCATCCTTAGAGCAGGTTTTTTTTTTGCTATTTATCTGCTCTAAGTTTTGAGGTTATTATTAAAAAGTTAGGTTTTAAAAAGTTGGGTCTTTTTAAAAATTGGGTCTCAGGAGCAGAGAATTAAGGAACTAAACTGTTTACTTTATGGCTTGTCCTTATCACCATGGATAAGACCACTCTTGTTGCCTACTTATCACTTTTTATTTCCATTTCCCACTCCTGTTCTCCTTTCCATAGTTAACCACTCTAACATGTTTGGTAGTCTATTAATGTGAATTGTTATGTAAGCATGTCTTGATTTTTTATAAATGGTGTTGTGTTTCTCATTCTGTTTTTTGCTTTCTAAAACTAAGCATTTTGTTCTTAAGATATATTCACATGTACGTTTAATCTGTTTTCTGTAAAACTGGAACAATCTGAGTAGCAGCTATAAAGTTACTGTGAAAAATTAAATAAGCATTTTTTAAAAAAATGCTTTTCACAGTAACTACTGGCATATTCTCAGTGCCCCCAACTAATTCCTTGTTCTTATTATTTTACCATTAGAAAGGCAAATCCTATCAAAAGCCAAAGAACAGTTCCCCAAACATGAGGTAGTCATCTCATTTTAGATTACACTGCATTAAAATAAATCTCTTTTCTTCGCCTTACTCATATTACTGAAAAGAGGCATGATGAATCTGGGATCTACTTAGGGAAGGTGGTCTTCCTGGTGAAGAGCCCAAAGAGATTCCAAAATGATCATTCTGAACTTTTTTCTTCCCACTTAGTTACATCCCAGACCAGATACAACTTAATCATTAAGCAGTGAATCAGCACTCTGTGTGCTGTCCACACTGAGTCTTCGGGGTATTAATAGGAGTGTATTGCTGTGGCAAGTGAGATCATGTCTATCCTTGGCTTTGGTCTGGTCTTCGTCAGAGACTTCTGATGGGGACCACCCGGAACTCCATCCAGATTTTGAGGCTGGAGGAAGATAGGAAAGAGGTGTGGATCTTGTTTGGCTTTGGGAAAATGCAAAGGGCTCCAGCTCCATTTTAGCAACAGCAGAGGACACGGAGGGCAGAGTGAAGAGTTTCTTCCTGGACGCCAGACAGGAAAGCAATCCGAAGCAACTGTTTTCCTTCCACTCTTGAGAACAAGACAAGACAGAACAGGTTGGAGGTTGTCCGCAGAAGGGATTTAACGCAGATATCAGGAAAAGCTTTTGATACTGAAGGTCAGGATTATAACCACTATCATTACCAACTAAAACATTTTTCAAAGTGACACACCTTTATTGGTATTTGCAGCTTACTAAAGGAGGGTATGTAATCACTCTCTTTGGGTCTTGTTGTTGTTTGTTTTGCTTTTGGGCCACACCAACGATGCTCGGGTCTGAGTCCTGACTCTGAATCAGGACTCATTCCTAGTGATGCTCTGGAGACGTTATAGGGTTCTGGAGATCAGCTCCTGTGGGCACATACAAGGCAGATGCCCTAACCACTGAACTATTGCTCCAGTCCTCCCTACAGATTTTAGGATGAAACTGCAAATTGGCTGGAGTGTCCAAATGGACTGAAAGTGCCCATCCTTTCTCCCTGTTTAACTGCTAGTATTTTACTTTAAGAAATAGGTTTTTAAAAAAGCAGCATCCAAAATAATATAAAATGTATACACTCATTTTTTTAAAAAACAAATACATTGATAAGGGGCCAACCCCCAAACCACAAGGTTAAATGGTTTTCAATATTTTCCTTAGATTTGTTTCATATGCGTCTTATTTTATTTAAAAAGAGACTGGGCTTTTAAAATCACCAGTAAAATAAAGAAATAATGAGTGACCATGGCTGAGATTAACTCAGTTCCTTCAGACCTCATTCAGGTGGCTCATCTGGAAAACACAGCGATTATCTCAATGCAGATATCTGCTCTCTGAGATATCTGCTGTTACATTTCTTGCTTACTATAAAGAGCCTCCATTTGAGAGACCTCTGCCTGTGTCACATACACAGTAAATCCTACAGACCCACCATACCCCATCTGCAAGGTAGCATGCAGTGAACCGCAGAGGGGCCTTCTCTCGAAGTCAATAGTCCAATCTTGCCAGACAGGCAAGCTTTCTGCCAGGTCACAGAACTTCAATCATGTCTGTGGTGGTGATGTGCCTTTATGGCTCTGCTCACTACCTGCCGCCAACATTTTCTGAAAAGCCTGTGGTGGAACCTGGCCAGGGCGTGGGGAGCTGTGGTTAAAGAATATTCTTTTCTGATTAAAAACATAACCTCCGAGAGAGGAAATGGAGCAGTCCCGGGGATCTTGGTTTTTCCTTAATTATTTCAACTCTTCTCATTTGGGGGCCTGACATGAACCCTTTGGGACTGAAGCCCGTCCTTATGCCTATCTAACTTTGTCCCTCTGCATGTAATGCCTTGCAGGGGTGGCTGGGGCAGACCCGGCTATAGACTTCTTGCTATGACTGTAGACTTCTTAGCATTTAAAAGTAATGCACATAGGGCTGGGGAAATGGCTCAAAGAGCTGGGGCATATGCTTCACACATGGGGGACCCAAGTTCCATCCATCCCTGCCCCTGCATAACAGTCTCTGCCCCCATACCTCTGGGAAGCAGCCCCCAAGCACTGACTGACTGCCAGGTGTAGCACTGAAAACTAAAAAAAAAAAAATTGTGAGCTTACTGAGATAAAGGTGGCTACTTTGAGAAGACCTATAATCACAAAAGAGAAGTTTGAATGGTTCAAAGGAGGTGTGGCATCTTCAATCTTTACTGTGGGCTCACATGGGGGACGGGCCTTCAGTGTTCCGCTCTCTTGGCTGAGAAGAACCTAGCATGGTCTGGCACTTACTTGTCTTTCCAGACCTGGAGCTGTCCAGGGCTGGGCAGTGCCTGTATAGTGGAAGAAGTGAAGTTCTCTGCTTCACCGGCACACTTGACTTTCATTCCTCATTACTATAAAACATTTCCTTTCTCTTACTCTTGACAAATGGAACTCAATCGGTGTTAACCAGTTTTAAGGAAAGCAACTAGAAGATGAATGATAGATATTTGATCTCAAGTATTTCCAATGTCTAAAAATGGAAAACTTTAATAAAATCCTCTAATGAGTTTACTCGAGGTAAAGGGCTGTAGCGATAGCACAGCGGTAGGGCCTTTGCCTTGCACGCAGCCAACATGGCCGACCCAAGTTCAATTCCTCCGCCCCTCTCAGAGAGCCCGGCAAGCTACCGAGAGTATCTCGCCCGCACGGCAGAGCCTGGCAAGCTCCCCGTGACGTATTCGATATGCCAAACACAGTAACAACAAAGTCTCTAGTGGAGACGTTACTGGGCCCGCTCGAGCAAATCGGCCTTTACTTCACTTTACTTTACTTTACTTTTATGAGTTTACTATGAAAATCAATCCATTGCAAATCGATGAACAACGGGAGGACAGTGCTACAGTGCTGCTTCTAAAATAATGACTTTGCCAAACAGCTTCAAGACACTACTATGTTATTACAAATAAAAGTATGAATAGAATAAGTCATTTAATAGGTATATCAGAATTTTAAAGACATGCAATATGTGCTTTATTTTTAATAGGTGTATTTTTATTTTTATGTCGATAAAAGCCATAACTCTTTATACAACACATGTACTTTAAAGAACAGATTTTAGAGTTTGGATTCCAGCTCAGCCACTTCACTGTATAAGTTTGGATAATTTGCATAAGTTCTGTGTCCCGCAGCTTCCTCGACCTACTGTGAGGATAATAATACCTTCTGCACAGTGTGCAGTCCTTAATGATTAAGTTAGTTAATTTTATTTGTTAAATTAAAATTATTAATTGTATCTGTTAGAAAACTTGTATAGTTTTGTAAATTTAATTTCTATACTTGTATATTTTAATAAATATAGAATTAATTTATAATAAATAAATTAATCAGTTAATTAATTAATTTGGATAAGGTATGCATTCCAGAGACTTGATAATATCCCTTTATTTTATTCTCAGAGTCAGCTGGAAAAGACACACTTATTCTAGTGATGTGAAGTGATGTGAATAATCATTTGATCCATAGGTACATCTGGAATAATATTGTCAGAATAAAACTATCCAGATTTTGGTCAATTATAAAGTCAGAGTGAAGCAACCCTTTGCAGAAGGGAAAATTGAAACTGAATGAAAGTAGATATTAGCTTTGTTCTTTACCTAAAAAGCCTCTGTGTGATTTAAAATATTGGCAACCAAATGAGGCAAGCAAGTATCTCTGCTGGGATGGGGTGGGACTG